TGGAGGGGACCTCTAAAGGTCATCTAGATCTGACCCCCACCCCGGCAGGGTTGCAGGGACATCCCCAAATCAAGAAAGTTGCCCAGAGACCTATCAGGCCAGACCTTGGATGTCTCCAGGGATGAGGCTTCCACCTTCCACCACCTCTCTGGGCAGCCTGTTCTGGTGTTTCACCACCCTCAGAGTAAAGAACTTCCTCCTGATGTCCAATCCAAATCTCTTGAGTTTAAAACCAGTCCCCCCCCATGCTTCCCCAGCTTTCCTGTAGGCCCCCTACAAGTCATGGTGATGATCCCCCACTCCAGGATTTGGAACATCATCCCTACCTTGGACACCCACCCTGTGCCCACCCAGGGAAGGGAATTCCCTGTGCAGTAGCAGGGAATAACAGCCAGGATTAATTAAGGCAGCTCGTTCCAGCTCTGGTGGAAAGCTGTGGATGGGCTGAGCAGGGATGGGGGTGAAGGCACTGATGCTCCATGGTGGGTGGTAACGGGGGGTCAGCCTCCTCCTGCATTGCCTGGGCTGTGGGGAGAAGCTTCCCCTGGGTCCATGGTGCCTTCAAGGCCGTGGTGATTATGTGCCCAAATCTTCCCACAAACCTGAGGGGGCTGCTCTGGACCTTAGGGAGGGTCCCTGTTCCCTAGGCACCCAACCATCCAAAGCCCCATCTCTGTGCTTGAGACCAGGCTCTCAGCAACCCTCATTCTTCATCCTCCCCCCCAAAAAAAACCCCTCTCTCATGGGTGGGAGCCAGAGCAGGGAGGTTTCCTCCACGGACCTGGCTTCTCAACGCTTTTCTCTGCCGAGCAGGGCGAAGTCTAAAAACGGAGGGAGATCTCTGAGGGAGAAACTGGACAAAATTGGGTTAAACCTGCCTGCCGGGAGGCGTAAAGCTGCCAACGTCACCTTGCTCACCTCGCTGGTGGAGGGTAAGTCACTCCAAGGGCCAGGAGGGCTCCTCTGGAGAACATCCCCGGTGCTTTTGTCTTGCTGTTGGGTGCTTTGGTCGGTTTGGTGTTTTTGTCCCCCCTCCCCAAGTCAGGGCTGCTTGTTGGAAGTTGGAAGGGTGTTGTTTTCTGTGCCACAGGGGGAAAAAAAAAACAACCCAATGTGTTTATTGGGTGCTTTTGGGTTTTGTCTCGAGCTGAAAGGGGCTTGGGTGAGTCCTGCAGACTCCACGTTGGGTTCGACCGTTTATTTGGAGTCTCCAAGCTGGATGTTTTCAGGGCTTCATTTTTCTCCCTCATTCAAGTGAGCAATCCCTCCTCGGAGGAAGAGGATTGTATTAGGAGCAGGGTAGGAGGGAACCCTGCAAATAGAGGTGTGGGCTCAACCCCACCCCATAGGAGACCCCCTGAGTGTTGAGTGAGAAGTTATGGGGAGCAGAGCCTCCAACGCTTCGTCCTTCTGCCACAGGTGGACAGCTGAGCAATTGGGAATGTCAAGAAACTGCAGCTACTTTAAGGTTGCTCTCCCTCCCAGCCTGCAGCCACATAGCAGCAAATCATTTAACTTTCCTGACATCTGCATTCGAGAAATGCGTGACCATTACTTCCTGAATTAATTTGGGAATCCTTGACCTCAGCCATGGATTAATGGTGTCCTGAAAGCCTCAAAGTTGCACCCCCGCTCCCTTTTGGTTCTCATTTTCAGCACACGTGTTCCCTCGGCTGTCTCTTTCTCCTCTACTTTGGCCAAAAAAGGTGCAGCTTGTTTTTTGGGATGCCCTGTGCTGTTAGAACAGGGAGGTGGGAAGCTCAGGACCTTGTGGTTTAGTTTGGAAGCACCACGTCACACCGACTGGCACAAAATAAGCCCAAGGTCAACAAATAGATCCTCCTCCATTCCCCTCACTTAGGATTTTGGCTGTGTTTTAGACTGGTTCAGTCCACAAAGCTCTTTTAAGCCCAGCCCTACAGAGGTTCAGCTTAAGTTGGGTTGTGTAGGAGGGATTTTGTTGCTTGGTTTTGTTGTTGCTTCACGTTCTCCAAGAAATGTTTCACGTTCAAAGGGACGAGGGGGGAGAGAATGCCAGGTTTTGTGTTTTTATGAAAAAATAGCTTGCAAAGCCAGGCTTTGGGCTTTTTTTTTAAACATCAGGATTAGGGGCTGCACTATATTTATGCTGTGTGGCAATTGCTGTGTCTTCGTGGCTTTGAAAAGTCTTTGCAGTTGCATCGACCTGCTGTAGTCCAAATTCAAGAGGGGAAAAACTTGTCAGAAGTCTAGGTTGGGTAGATGCTTAACGTTATTTGCGACGTTAATGAATGTGGAGAGAAGGTTTTTATGGTCATCTATTGTTCTGCTTGGCTTTCACATACATAAAATCATGATGGAAAAATAAAATAACACCAAACGAAGGCCCCAGAACTTTGAACGGCGGCTGATTTTTTGGGGGGAGGGGTTGGGTGAGAGTATAAACGTTGCTGGGGTTTGAGTCTTGTAGGATGAGGCAGTTTCTAGAGTACTGTTATTGTTTATGATCCGCTCCATTTTATGGAAACAAGCTCACTGGACTGAGGCTTTGAAGCTCTAATTGGCGCATGCGTTCTTCCGGAGCTAGAGCTAATGGCAGGAAGCCCTGCAGTAAAAACCAACTGGTTCAGGAAATTAAAACCAAAGATTTGAAAATCAACAAAACAGACAGACTCGTTGGAACGACCCTGAAATTCTCATGGTTAATCGTTTTGGGGTTGGGGGGAGATGGCGGGGGGGGGAAGTGAACGTATAATTATACGCGATCGAGTTAAATTTTAAACGCTTAGCTGTTTAATGCGTTTTATTTAGGAGAGCTGGAGGAGTAATTATGATCAATATTAATCATCGGTGCGTCGCCAAAGAATATAGGGAGGGGGCTGAGGGGGTTTTCTGAGTAAATAGCTGCGAATGAAATGGATGGGAAGGGCCCTGTAGAGGTATGGGTATGTAAATCCCAGCGCGCATTCCAGGTGGATGGAGCCTGCCTGTCTAAAACTATCTGTTAGTCAATGGAAACTTAAAAAAAAACCCAAAATAATTCTGAGGCGAGATTTCACTTGTAGGGATTGTCATGAAAATCCACATTTGCATGGCCCTCCACCGAGGCAAAGAAAACTCTTGCGAGATAAGATGCCATTAGCATTTCTTACCCTACCTTTTTCAAAGACAAAAAGTCCAAGGCTTGGAGAAGAAAAGCCTCGGCAGAATGGTGTAGGGCTTTTGTATTCCCACCCCCTCCCCAAAAAAAAAAACCCAAACAACTCCGTGGGACTGTGGATTGATGAGCTGTGTGTTTCCCTCACCCGTGCCTCCCTTTTCAGGAGAAGCAGTGCACCTCGCTAGAGATTTTGGGTACGTTTGCGAGACAGAGTTCCCTGCCAAAGCAGTAGCTGAATTTCTCAACCGACAACATTCCGATCCAAACGAGCAAGTCACAAGAAAAAACATGCTTCTAGCTACAAAGTAAGACATTTACCTTTCCCCCACGTTGCTCAGGAGTGAGGGGAGGGTGACAAACCCGGGTTTGGGGCTTTGATTTGCGAGGCCGGCGGGGGATGTGTGTGTGAATTTGGGGGTGGGGGGTGCATTTGCCCTCCTGCCACAGGAGAACTCTACAACCCAGCTTGATTTCCATCAAGTCAATCCACCCAGGTTACCTTGAAAGCCAGCTGTGAAAAGTGCTGGGTGTTTAAAGAAAAAGTAGTAATTCTTCCAAGCAAAACTGTTTCCCCCTTTTTCACCTCGTTTTTCACCTAGCTGATCACTTTAAAGCCTTTTCACTGAGCTTATCAATTTCGGTAGAAGGGGGAAGGTTTCCCCTTGGCAGTAAAAGAAAACTGGTACGTGGAAGTGATTTCAGTTCATGAAAATTGGCAACGGTTCTCTCTGCTCTGCTCCTCAGTGAAGAGAGGGATATTAAAAATATATTTTAAATGACAATCTGCACGCCGTTAAAGCGCTGGCGAGCGGGTGGTTGGTGGGGCTGCCTGGACTTCCAGGTGGTGCCGTAGCAAAACGTTGGTTTTGATGGGTTTGCTGGAAATTAAAAGGGTTGTCGAGTAGTCCTTAATTAGCAAAGGAAGTGTCACCCAAAGGGCAGGGTGCCAGAGGGTGCAGGCAGAAGATGGGAGACGCTTTATGGCTGGAAGACATCGAGGCAGGTTTTGGAACCCAAAGGGTTTCAACACGCCTCTGGAGCTCTCTTGCTATAAGGTGTGGAAGGTGTGGGGTTTTTTCTCCAACTCTTTGAGTGGATGCTGTAACCTGACTTCTGCCCTGTGCCCTCGTATCCTCTCTTCCCACCTCCCTGGAAGGAAATTTCCAGACCTTGGGTAGCGTCAGCCTTCCCCCTCTGCGGGAAGGTCCCTTAGGAGTTGGAAATAGAGATGTACATCTAGAAACGTTGGGGAAGAACCTGATTTAAAGCCCCAATTCCCCTCTCAGCCCTCGCTCTTCCATGCAGCTTTGCGGAGAGCGAGGTCCACGCCTCTCTCTGCCTCCAAAAAGTGGTCGGGGAGGGCTTGTGTCACCTAGCAGGGAGCGTGGCCACCAGCCACACGGTTCATTTCTCTCCCTTCCCCCTCCCCTCCGTCTCTCTCTGCTCCATTTGTGCCACAGACAGATCTGTAAAGAGTTCACCGACCTGCTGGCTCAGGACCGATCTCCCCTGGGGAACTCGAGGCCCAATCCCATTTTGGAGCCGGGCATCCAGAGCTGCCTGACCCACTTCAACCTCATCTCGCACGGCTTCGGGAGCCCGGCGGTGTGCGCCGCCGTCACCGCCCTCCAGAACTATCTCACCGAGGCCCTCAAGGCCATGGACAAAATGTACCTCAGCAACAACCCCAACAGCCACACGGACAACAGCACCAAAAGCGGCGACAAAGAGGAGAAGCACCGAAAGTGAGGAGCTCCCCCCAACACACCGAGTCCTCTCCCCGTTCCCCTCGTAGCCCCTCCATGCTCAGCTCCCTCCTCCTTCTCCCCAGCACCCCGGGCTACTACGGCAGCAGGATGAGCAGCCTTCTGCCAATCCTGTTCTCTGACTCTTCCCCACACCCCTTCCCAACATCCCTCTTAACGTTTCCCTTCCCCTTTTCCCACTGCCACCATCGGTTTACCCCAGTTTGGGAGCCTAAGAGAACAGAACAGGGGGGACGGAGCCAGCAAAGGAAAACAAAAAAAAGTTCTGTCTTGAGTTTGTGAACTTTGTTTTTTTTTTTTTTTAAAATAAAACAAAAGGAGGAAAAAAAAATAACACACACACAAAAAAAAAAGACAACAAAAAAGGAAAGGACTTTTTTTTTTTTTTTTCTAAAAAAAAATTTAAAAAAAAAATTAAAAAAAAAAAAGCCAAAAAAGAAATAAATAATACTTAAAAAAATTCTATGAGCTTCACCGGACTGAATCACCACCTTCCCTTACATAAACTGCAGTTAAGATTGTAGCCATATTAAAAAAAGAAAAAAAGAGAGAAAAAATTAAAAAATGAAAGGTGAAAAACGTGCGGCAGCGACGGCAGAGAAAAGGCAAAAAAAGGACTGATGACGTTTTATCAGTATTGTGAATAAACTTGAACACAAAACACGAGCAGTTCCATGTCATATCTTCAGTTGTAGAACTTTTTCCTGTCCAAGGTAAAGCGACCAACTTGAACTTTCTATTGCAACACGATTCACGGTTATTATATAAGGGAATCAGTGTTCATGTATGTATATATTTATTTATGTGTAATTTAATGGGAATTGTAAATATGGTGAGTCTGTTTTAAGCCTTTTTTTATTTATCTGGTGATCTCGTTTACCTCTTGTTTAGTGGGTTTTAAATCTTCCCCTCTTAGTTCATCATGTGGTTCATGGTACTTATTTAGATATCAGAGGTTTTTTGGGGGTTTTTCTCTGGGATTCATCATTTTTAGCCCTGTTGTAGCATGTTAAAGGCGACAATGAAGCAGCTGAACAAATAATAATAATAATAAAAAAACCCATGGATTTTTTATATATAATTAGTATGACATTTAGTTTCTCATGGAAGATAAAATAAAGTGATGTTGGACCCTGGCAAGGTTTTTAAACATGTTAGTGGTTTTACAACCCTTATGTGTTGTCGAAAATGAAAGAAGTTATTTTCATCCACTGTCCTCCTCCTGAAAGCACCATCAGAGCAATAAATTAATATTGTCTTTTAAAACAAGATTTAGCTTTTCTTTCCTTTTTTTTTTTTTTCCCCCTTTTTTTTTTTTTTTCTTTTTTTTTTTCCCCCCTTTTTTTTTTTTTCCTTTTCTTTCTCCCTTTTGTTTTGATTTGTCTTTTTTTTTTTATTATTATTTTTTCCTTTTTTTTTCTGGTTATTTTTTCCAAAGAACTTCAAACATTTGGGACCACCTGGTATCCTGTATTTCCACTGGCCATATTGGAAGCAGTTATAGTTGTATTGTATTGAGTTGTGCCGGCAGTAGTTTCCATGCCTATCAATGTATCATAGTCCTTTGTTGCCCAGATAAATAAATATTTGATACGCTTTATGTCGATTTTTTTATTCAGTGGCTGTCTTTACCCAGGCGTATTTTTGTTCTTGGCAGTATTTTTTATTCAGTATGGTTACAGTAATTGAGTTTAACTCTCCCTTGACAATTGCTCCTTGCAATAAGCAGCTGAACCCATTGTTTCCCTCAAGTATAATAAAAACTTACTTTCAACTTGGAGTTCAGAGCAGGGTATCATTTAGATATTCCACTGAGTCTGTATTCAGACAAATGACACAATAAAGCACAATGTATTCTTTTGGATAAAAAATTGTCTGTACTACTAACAAAATGACACACTATCTTTTCTTTAACCGAAACATAATTTTATTTAACAAAAAAAAAAAAAAAGAATAAAGTTTTATTTTATTTATGTTGACCTCTAGGTTTTTATTTACGTTGAACACAGAGCATGGAGAAGGGTGAGCCTGTAAAATTTTGTAGTTGTCCTGGCTGGGGAGTGGAGATTTAAAAACCAAACCAAAACCCACGTTACCTGGAGAAGGATATTTTTAAAAGAATCTTTTTAAATACCAAATAGGAGGTGCTATGAAAAAAATAAATGAGGTGAATCGCACCCGGGTGCTCCCTCCCCCTGAAGGAAAAAAAAAAAAGCCAAGCTCTGTAGTGGATGCCAACAAAATCATCTCACGGTTGTGAACTTTAGTGAAATCTTGCAGGAGACAGATTATTTCTGATTGATGGCTCGTGTTGGAGTGGAATGCACAGACTGACATTTCGAGATGGTCGTGTCGGTTTGGAAGGGGCTGATATTTTTCTCTGGAGTTTCTTTCTGGTGGAAAACAGTCATAAAAAGGGAAAGTTTGCTTTAAAAAAAAGAAAAAACAACAAGAAGAGTGTGGGTCTTGAAGATGGGCTGTAAAAACGTGGGAGAATTCTGACTTTGAATCTGTTTTCTTTGGCCCAGGGGGTAGGTGAAGTCAGGACCAGGCTGGATTATATGATATCAGAGGAAGGGAGGCGAATGCAGTTTAGAATGTAAAGGCATTTTAAAAAGCTGGTCTCCTTTAAATGCTGATGATATTTTGGTGGTGGTGGTGGCTGCTTTTTCTCTCTTTCCTTCCCTCCTTGATTCTCACTCTCTCTCCTTTTTTTTTTTCTCCTTTTTGCTGAGGCAGAAATCGTGGAGGTTAAGGGGGAGGTGTTTACAATAAAGCAGCAAAGAGAATTAACATTTGCTCATATATTTTGACGTTTGGTAGGGCTGGTGAAGCAAAGCATTAGATAAAGCCCAAGATGTTTCATTTTGCTTTGGTAATCTACTTATGGAAGGCAGTGTAAAATCAATCTTGCCAAGCAGAAAGAGAGTTGGTGGAGTCTAAATTCTATTTTCCAGAGCCAGCCAGTTTATAAAAATGGTGAATATTTTTTTTTTTCTCTCCCCCTCCTATAAATTGAAAGTGGATCTTTGGAATGCAAAGCTGCAATTGTTTTAAAAAACAGTTATTTATTATTTCCAAGAGAGACTGGTTAACTGTAAAGTAGATGTAACAAAATAATGAGGTGAATGAACCCTAACTGTACATATTCTTGACATAAATGAAATGCACAGTGTTGTAGCAGGTGAAGTGAAGCATTGTCTATCAGGGCTGTTTTTCTTGGCTGCATCTCAGATTGTGTGTGGGATCCTAACCTCAGGCACAATAGCATTCATAAACAGCAATACATTGCTGCTCTTTCTACAGCAACACATAAATACTCATTTTTAAACGAAAACAATCTTATTAAATACCATTCATTCATATCTGGATTTACAGATGCTTGTTACTTTTTGAAACCTGTACCCAATATAATCGTTTTATACTGGGCAATGTATAAAGCAGTCTTATGCTAGAACATTATAAGATCATAATAAATAATGTTTTAAAGATATAATTAGCTACTTTATGCTAGGAGAGAGCGTTTTAAGTATCCTGCTGCTGCCCTAGCCAGCCACGAGGAGACAGAAATGCAATGACCTTGCACAGATTTCTTTATTACTATTATTTCTAAGGAAGGATTTTCCAGGCGATAATGGGAATCAGCCCAGCTCGGGTTCAGCTTCTTCTGCTGAGACCAAGACACAGTTACTAAAACCTGCTAATTACAGGAGCCTTCTTTGGATGTGTTTTTAACAGTGGGAGCGAGTCGCAGCAGGGAGATTCTAGGTCGTGCTTTTACCCAGCAAACAAAAATCTGCCCTCGTGGGGGTGTTTTTTCAGCTTCCCCCCCCGCCCCTAGATTGGCCCAAATGAGGGTGGGGGGTGGCTGAGTGTTACCAGGCTGCCACCCTGAGCTAATTCCTACATGTGAACCCAAATCCAGCCCCGTGCTCTCTCCCCCTGAACAAGGACAGCCCTCCTTTTTTTCTTTTTTGGTCCCATAATTTACCCCACCCTCCAAAAATCGAATATTAATATAATTTGAGATTTCACTGGTGGAACAGCCATGGGGACAGCAATGCCCCGCAGCTGAAATAATATTTAAAATAGAAGGGATTTGACATTTGAGAAGTCAGTGGCTTGAAATACCCAGTTGTACTTAGCTAATTCAGTCCTTAACCTCTGGTTTCAAATAAATCAATTACAGTCGATTCCACTTCAGTTCAGAAGTGCACGAGGTTTTTTAGTTAATTGAATACATTTTATTCACTTGCTAGGAGTATTCATTTCTCCAAACCCTTACATTTAAAGGCGATTTCTTTATTGTCCATGATAAATTCGACTGCGTAATCAGATCAGCTCCTTGTTTACTCATCTTCTGCCTGGCATTTAAATCCCAGAATCTCCACTTCCCTCTCCCTCCTCTCTACGTGGATTCCCACAGCATCAGCCCTCGACGTTGACCAAGTGTAGGAGAAGGGGCAGAACGATTTAAACTGGCTCGATAATCAAAAGGTAATCAAACAATTAGGGCAAGGTCGGGAGTGTAAAAAAGAAATGGTGCCTCCAATTCTGTCCTGGGCACTGTTTGTGAATCAAGGGGCTACATCTCTGCTCCCTGCCCTGTGAGAAATGGGAGTGGTTAAACTCCTAGAGTGGAATTTGGAGGTTTTTTGTCCTGTGCTGGCTGAAGTTGTGTCTCTGATGTGCTGTTGATAACACACGTTGTACTTTGCCTGTGTTGTTTGCAGCATCCTGCTGGCCTTGCTTTGCTGTTTTGGAAAGGAAAGGGGTTAATTAGCGTCATTATCAATCACTAATGCTTGCCTAACGTGTCCAAAGAATAATCAAGTTAGGGGACTGCATGAAGCTAACATCTGCTTCATTAAAATTTTTTTGCCTTATATCGTTCAATGATTGGAAGCCCACACCGGTTTCAGGCTTTGTCAGAGCCATAAACCAGGGTCAGATCGTTAGAAATCTAGAATGGAGGGGAAAGTGCAATATAAATAACAAATGGCTTCATTATTTGAGTTACAGGTGCAAGAATGGCCGTGAAAATGAGCGGGGATTACTAGAATGTGTTCCTTCTTTTTATCTTCACAGGGAGGGAAATAGAAATCAGAGAAGCCTGGTTCTGAAATCA